TTAAAACGCTCAGTAAGTCACGCAGACCGAAGAATAAGAATAAGGAGAAGTACAAGGTATACCTCCTCCTCCTCTTCTTAAATATATTATCTAACTCCTTGTTCCAGGGTGCTCTTGCTGCGCAATCAGCGGTAGAAGCCGCCGCTCTCTTTCGCGTCACGCGCGGCAATATTTAGAGATGGCGCAGAGACACTACAAAGTTAAAGGTGGCTGCTGCAAAAGCGCCTAACAAGTTCTTTGCACCATCATCTCCAGGCAAAAAGGGCTATATTCGCCATCCTGAGCTCAAACAAAGGTAACATTTCATCAATTTTCAAATTCATATCTGTGGATGACACGATAATTGTAATATGTACTTTACTAATCGTTTAGTTTGCTTGACTGGTATCATGCTACTGCAACAAACAAAGGGTTTATGCGTAACGACAAAGTGCATCATAATGATGATTGGCAAATTCGATGCAGTGTATCAAGGACGCACTGTGCTTTCTTGTCGTGGACAGTTCGCTTTTTAAAGCGGAATAAACTCGTAGTCCGCCGAATCACACAAGGGAACGAAAAAAAGGGTAAACATGCAGGTATATTGTTATTATTGTTATTTTCAAATTTCGATTTGTTTTAAAGGTTATACTCATTTCCTTGAAAATACTTGTACATTTTAGAAAATTGCTGACGTCTTTTCCCGGACAATAAACTGTGAAGTTGAGGACGGCGGTTTTTTTTCCTACCGCTTACACTCAGATAGATCGGTATGGAAGCCTCTTCAATATGGACCAAACCGGAGTGTGCATCGACAATCCTGGCCGTTTAACAATACACGTTCGTGGGGCTAAGAACGTCGATGATGTGTAAGGTACGGGAGAAAACGGGGCGCGCTGCAGTGTGTTTCTCTGCGCATCAGCGCTCGGGAAAAATTACCGGCGTTTGTTGTGTTCTCTGGTGTCCTGGGGCGGACGTGTACACCGAGGTGTCCAACCCTAATTGGGGATATCCCAGTGTCGTTCATACCACACAGAAAAAGGCATGGTGTGACCATGCAACCATGTTGAAGTGGATTGAAGAGGTACATATTGCAATATTTGTCGTGTTTTTTATTTACTAAAGTGTTATATTTTATTTGTTATGTTAGATATGGACTCCATCTATTGAGGGATGCCGCATCCTAATGCTAGATAGCCTTCGGGTGCATAAGATGGAGAGCGGAAAACAGTATCTTGAGGATACGTGCTGCACAAAAGTGCATTACATTCCTTCAGGAATTACAGGGCTCAGCCTGCCTATGGACGTGAGGGTGATGCATTCATTCAAGAACAAGATACAGTACGTTTCCTTTATAATTTTTGCATTTGCTAGCTTTCTAATATTTATGTAGAGATCTATATCTCGAATGGTACAGGGACCACGTTTTTTCTAGAAGCGCAAGTGAACGTCGCTTGCTCTTGTCTCATATAGTTGGTAAGGCTTGGGATGTGGTGGACAAGGAGACCATTATTTTGTGGTTCGCCACATTGCTAGCACCACAAAAATCAAATGTGTTATAAGAGACAAAACTCTAGCGCCCCTCCATTACACACAGTTCTCATG